CCATCACTTTATTTTATAATAGATATTTTTTTAAGACTTAAAAATTATAAAAAATATTTTTTATTAAATTTATAAGTCTTTTTTTTTTTTTTAGATAAAAAATTTGTTAAAAGACATAGAATATCTTTAGTAATAAAAACTAAGTCTTTCTATGTAGAATTTATAAATGATCATCTTTTTTTTTTTGAAGATATTACATATAAAACTATTCCTATAGATATAGTACTAAATAGTTATAAAAGCTTAGTGGAATTGAATATATTTAGATCCACATCTAATCCAGTCATTTCAGATTTATTATAATTAAATAAATAAAACTCTCAGACAGATTGAATTTCTTATAATCTTGATTTTTTTCATGACATAACCAAGTCTTTTGTTTTTCATTTAGAAATAAATAAGTTCAGTCCAATCAAACTCTCATTTATAGGTACAAGAGCATTCATACTTGTTGAAAAAGAAATATCATCTTTTGTTATCTATACTATCTTATTTCTAATGGTAAATAGACTTTAGATATCAAGGATAAGAATTTAATGAAGGCAAATAAAAAAATGAAATTTTATTCAAAGAAAGATGAAAAAATAGAAATAAGAAAGTATGTATATTCAAAAGAAACTAAAATGGCTATTGCTAAAAGATAAGAAAACTAGAGACCCTTGAAACTAGATTAGAATAAAAAAAAAATTGATAAGAGTGAAGAAGTCTTTATTCTTTCCTCCATATATATTATCTAACTAAAAGCTATGTAGCAACATTCTATAGGACCTTCAATATATGTCCAATTTACAAGACATGTAATTAATTTGTAAGACAAGTTTTTTATATGTGCACCACATAATTAGCTTGTATTACAATGTACCAATACATAAAACATATGGCTAATTTTTTGGCCAAGTATTCAACCTATTTATCACTCTTAGACACATATAAAGGTGAAACTGTATCTATAAAGCTTTTCTACAAGATATTATCAAATAAATCTTCTTTTATTTATTTCTATCTCTTTATATTATCTAGGTAATTATAAGAATAAATATGTATGTCCATGATATAAAATAGCATTTGAATTCAATATGAATATTATTAAGGCATATTTAAAAATAATAGTGAAAATATTTTTCTAGAATATTGAGCTTATAAATGCTCAATTCAACTTTAAAAAGAGTTCAACTACAATTTGAATCAATCCACAATTTATCACAAAATGACTTGACTTCATTCAAGGAATACATTCGTAAAAACTTGGCTAAAAATTTCATATACCATTTAAAATTTCTAGCAAAAGGTTTTATCTTATTTGTAAAAAATAAAAAATAATAATAAAAAAAGATCAATTTGGAAGTATGCAAATTTTTGAAAAATTAACAAAATTACCATCAATAATATCTAAACTTTTTAATTGATATGAAGACTTTTTAATCAATTCATTCAAGCCAATATCTATATTAAATTAGATCTATAAGAAAATTATAACTTAGTACGTATTAAAAATAAAGATGAATGAAAGACTAAATTTTGGACTAATATGGGTATTTTAAATATAATGTCATGTCTTTTGGACATACAAATGCACCAAATGCTTTTTAACATCTAATAAATAATTTTTTTATACAATATTTAGAGAGTTTTTTATTTAAATAATTTTTTGATCTATTCTAATAATTCAAAATAATATGAATTTTATATTCATTTTTGTTCCAAAAATTTAAAGATATAGGATTACATACTAAAAGAAAAAGTATATATTTCACACAATTCAAGTTAATTTCTTAAGATAAATTATTTCAAATGATTGCCATATGATGGATTCTATGAAATTTCAAATTATTATAAATTAAAATATTTTAAAAATATTAAAATAAATTTATTTTTATTTTATTAAATATTTATCAATTATTATTGGATTTTTATTAAAAAAAAATTTCAAATTACAAATCTACTTAAGTATTTGACTTTTATAGACAAACTTGAGTAGAATAAAGAAATGATGTAGTATTTGAAGCTTTAAAGATAAATTTTACTCCACCTCCAATTTTATATTGCATTGAATTTTTTAAGGTATTCTTTTTAGAAAAAAATGCAGTAGACTTTATCTTAAGTGTAGTATTGTAAAGATGTTCTTATAAATATTTGTATTCAATATTACTTATCAATCAAGAAAACAACAAGGTTTGTTGAATACTCTTTTAATACATTTTTATTTTATAAAAAAAGAAGAAGATATAACTTGTGATTAACAACAAAAAATTATTTTTGAAGCTAGAGCAGTTTCATCTTTGAGCAATGAAATTACTATTGGCTATTGATTCAACATTTTTTGAGAAAGTTAAATTAAATATGTTCTTATATTTTATTGTTTATGATATTAAAAATAATTATTTTAAATTTCATGATACTTCTAAGTTCGAATTCAAAGAAAATCTTTTCTATTTCAAGTGACTCATTTATCTCTCAAATAATAAAATAAAATAATATATTTTTCAAGCTTGTTATAATTTTTCAACTAATATAATATGACTTTGGAGTTAATCCCAAGAGATTTTTGGTGGCCTCAAATGTAAAAGACAATTAAAGACTTTGTAAAATCATGTGATATTTATTCAAGTTTGATAACTCCTTGTCATCACTTTTATGCACTTCTTCAGCTATTATCTATATCAAAACAATCAGTCATATGTTTTAATGAATTTCATCACCAATCTTATAATTTTAAGTTCTTATGATTCTATATTAATGATAGTAGATTACTTTAATAAATTAATATATTTTGAACTATATACAAAAAATATCAAAAATAAAGAAACAATTAGATTTTTCTTAACATCTATTGCTATTATGGACTACTAATGGATATTATATCAAATGAAAGGACTCAAATTTGTATCTAGATTTTAAAATTTTCTTTTTAAGATATTAAAAATAGATGTAATACTATCTTTAATTTTTTTGTCCTCAAATTAATAGATAAACAAAACAAGTGAATTAGATATTTAAATAATATTTAAGATTTATCATAAACTACCATTAAGATGATTGATTTTTTTTTCATTAATATATATTTTTTTATAATAATACAATATAATCTTCTATTCAAAAATTATTCTTCTATATTAATTATGGTTATCATCCACAAATTAATACTTTTGATTTCTTAAAAGTTAATAATCTTGTAGATAAAGATTTTAAAAATTATTTAATAAAACTATATGCAACAATGAAGGTAAAATAAAAATAAAAATAAAAACTCAAAAACAATATAAAAATCAACACAAAAATCTATTACAGATCAACACAAAAAAAATCAACACAAAAATCTATTACATCAAATAATCCAAATTCCATATTAATGATAAGTTATGGTTATTTTTTGTAATATCAAAATTATTTGATCTTCTAACAATTTGGAAAACCATAGACTTGATCCAAATTTTATTTGTAGACAAATCAATCCACTTGCATATCAATTATACTTACCAAAGTTTATAAAGATCCATCTTATATTGTATGTGTCATTTTTTAAGCTATATAAAATTCTAATTCTTTTCCTTGATATCAACTCACTATTGCTAGCTTTGATATAGTTGTAATAAATCATCGCATTCTTAAGATATAGTCCTCTTGTATATAATGCCATAAATAAGATTTTACAAAACTTATTAAAAAATCTCTGTTACTTTCATCATTTTTATAAAATTACAAGTTAAATTAAATGTAGTTAAATTAAAATATAATATTTCAAAATTTTAACTAAGATTATGTTATATATTGCACATTATCAAATATTAAATATTTTCTTGTTTGAAAAGATATAATATTTATATAATAGATATTTTAATTCTTAAAATTTATTTTTATAAATAAATTTATTAAATAAATTTTAATAATGATAGATTAACAAATTATATCTTAGAAATTATAATCATAATATTTTGGAGTACAAATGAGTCTTATAGTGATATAATATAATCATATCAATTTAAAAATCTTAATGTGTTTTAAAAATATTCAAGGATACAAAGAAAAGAAAATGCGCCAATAACTAAAAAGCTTTAAAAGAACATATTATAGTTGATAATTTTGTTGAACTAAAAACTATATCTAAAATAATTACTCTTTCTATTTATTTGTATATGAAAATAAAAAAATTGATTAATTTGCATGTGTAAATGAGAAATTCATAAATATGTGAAATTAAATTGTTAAACTAGATAAAACCTCAAAAATATGATAGCTTTGTTTCTTTGGAATTCATTCAAGTCATATTTGAGAGAATTTAGCAATATTGGATCTATTATCACAACTAAGCAGTTTGTGATATCAAACTAATTTTTATTGAAGCCCAGTCTAGAAACTCAACCTCAATATGAATACAAGTGATAATGTCTTAGTTTACTTAATTTCGAGCCTGTTTTTATAAATTTGCTTGTTCTTGGTTCATAATCATCTATTCGTGGCTGCAGTTGGAGGGTTCGATTCAAACAATGTAGAACTGTAGTTTCTGTTATCGAAAGCTGAGGAAAAGAGAGATTGCTGCATGGCTTCTCAACAAGAAATGTTGTCAATTTCTGTTGGGCAAGAATATGTGGACAGCAGCAAGTGAGGACCTACAGACTGTTTACAGCCCGTGTTCAAAAAATTATGATTATTTTCATTTTGCTTCTTCCTTATAGGATTAATGAAGCAAAATCTCACTGGGTATAAAAGATGAGTTGTTACCAACTTCTTTACTGATGAAGTACAATACATTCCACACTTCGTTATCCTTAACAGTCTTCCACTTCTAGTGTAAAATGGCATTGACAGAGCAACTAAATGAAGCTGAGTACTCAACACATTCACACCTGACATAATGTCGTCCACCTTCGTGGATCACTTACAGATGACAAATGCTAAGTTATTATCAACTACAATGAAAACCCTAATACTATCAATACAAATTTTCAACCACGATGGTGTTCAGAAGGTCAGATGAAAGTCATCATAAAGCTTTCAGCGTGTAGAGAGAAAGGCCAGTGAACTCATGAACGCCAAATCTAACGAAGGGTTCGTCACGTAGGACTTCTGGCAGCAATAATTTTATTTCCACAGCTGAAACAAACAAAAGACACAAATAGTACATCGTCTACAATACACAATACTTTCCAGGATCCAGCTGGTCCCTGTAAACACCTCCATATCCAGCCAGCTTCAGAAAACCCTATTCAGGGAAAACTTATCCTCTTCCCAGCTAGTGTCCATCACTGCATCTGTCGAACTAGCCGTGAGTCCAAAACCCTCCTTAACATTGAACATGACCTGTACGACGAAGCGAACAGGTCCGAAAACGTCCTATGAAACATTTCACATTGGAAAAGGATGCCTCATTGAAATAGGCAGTTCATAAAGAACGGTGAAATGTTGTTTGAAGTATGAGCGTATAACCCCGAACAAGAGAGAATCTCAATTTGTTGGCAAGGACGGCCTGTACAAACCCACATGTCTCAATTCGGTAGAAATTTTCCTCGCAATATTGCCTCCGCTTTGCGCACTTCCTTGACGGCTCCAATGACAAAGATCTACATCAAGAGCACCAACCAATTACGGAGGCAATCACTAATCTCTAATCTTGTGTTGATTTCACGATCCTGAGTAGAATCGTGAATGGGTGAGAATCTCAACAGTTTAAAAAGAACGGATTGGTTACGTGGTCCAGTTTGTAGTTGATTATCATAGACACCAATTTTCAGTCAACCAATAAACTTGTGAAAGACAAAAAAAATATAACTTACAGCTACATTAGAACGCTACAGATCAAGTATCCATGGGACCGCAGATAGTCTAATAGAATAAAACCTAATAATATCAGAGTAAAATACACACAATGCAATCTTCAATATCTTTAAAATAATAAAACCATAATTCGATGATGAGATTTAAATTTTTTAAAGAAAATTTTGACTCATCAACTACGATGATGGACTTACCTTATCAGGGGGTCCTTTTTGTCCCCCAATGAAGATGTCAGCCCTGCGTGTTAAAATGAGGAAAAAAATAAAATAAAATCAGATACGATTGTGCGGTTTGTCGAAATAAATGATGAGACAAGTTGTGCGGCACGCGCACATCATCACCAACGCATATTACATAGAGGGTTTAAGCATTTAGTAGTTGATGAAGCGTGGATCAATGCGATTATGGCATACTATGTGAAAGATGTCTAAATTTCAGAAACAAAAACAATTATTTAACACCTACTTGTGTTAGACTTAAGTCGAGAATCTGCGTGTGTATACATTAAAGTCGAAAGAAGCCACTGGCGTACGAAACTCTGCAACATTACCTGCAGCATTGCTTGATAGAAAGGATGGAGGAACCTTTTCTGCCAATAACGAGACCCATCTTTCCACTAGGAACATCTACCACCGCCAGTACCTCCTCTTGAAGAAGTTCTCCATTGATCAGTTGCTCTGGTTCCGAACATGAAATCATGGTCGTTCTGGTTTGAGCATCACAAGAAAATGTATATCTCACTGCATATTTAACCAAATTCAACCACTACATAATAATGATGCTAAGATGTGAAAGAAATGAAGATCGACCGTATTCTTCATACCTGGAGGGGGTGGAAGGGGACAACCCAAGAAACAATCATCACCAGCGCAGAAGCACTGGCAGTAAAGAGAGCTTCGAACACTAAGACGCCACTTGGATAGCTCCGTTAAGGACTTCACCATACGCTCATAAATACGGAGAAGAAATCGCACGTCATCAGCTGCGACGCGCTTCATCATCACAGTCCAGGGTCTATGCGCCCAAAACTGAGGATCCTATTCATAGTATCAAGCCGCTGGTAAGAACAGCAACTTATCGTGACAATTTTCTCAGGATGCGACATCAACTTCATAAAAATATGTTTTCTGATGCTTTGACACTTAAACCAATATAATATACAAGTGATTTTGACAGTTGGTCCACTCTAAGATAGGACAAAGGGCCTGCATAACTGTCGAGGATAATGGCGGTAGACCCCAACTTCAACCAATAGGTTACCTTTGAAACAATTTAAGTGGGCAATCTGACAAAGCACTGAACGCTCATGAACACCTATTCAATGTCATTTAAAAAAAAAAAAAAAAAAAAAAAAAAAAAAATCTTCACGAGATAGCAACTAACCTTCCTCAGCAGCACTCGGACCTCCTCTTTCTCATCGTAAACTACACCTGTAAAGTTGATAATATTGTCAGGACTACAGCAGACTACTACAACTCATCACCTGCAAAACCTGTAAACCGAGCATAATATACAGTAAATATACGACCACATTCGCAAAGCATTCTGATTCCAAACGCATTGTGTGACAATGCTTTAGATGGCGATACGAAGTCTTAACACACACAGGAACTACACGTGAAACACAAGCCGGCGTGGATCAGGTGACGGAAGTGGATTACAACATGTAATACGCCAAAAAGGTGAGGACACTCATACCACAATATCTTTCATCTGCCAAGAGATCCACAAAAGAAATGTAATCATCTGGCACCCATTTTTTTCCATGTTGTTCCTTCAGCAATGTATAGGCAATCTGAAATAACCCTTCAAATACTGTTACTCTCCAGAACTTCTCCAGCATCAGTTTAGTGCAAAAAGAAATGAGTTAAGGACTTCATAATCGACAGTCGGATGGAAAAAAGCATCTATAACTGATAATATTCCAACCGACAAAGAAGAATTGATTTTGCCAGGCTTTCATAGGAATTAACTGCTGCCCTTCATGAACATCTAAAGAGAAGAAGAATGCGTCTTCGAGCTTCGTGCTGAAACTCAAATAATATAATACTCTGGGGGTTTGAATGGAATTTGAGCAGGCAACTGAACTAACCTGGGTGTCAAACACATTGTTCAGTTTGATGCCGTACTGGAAATACAAGGCCTGCAAAGCAACCAGAAGTAGCTTGTGAATTACTGCATCACGACAAATATAACAAGTGCGCCGCTAAAATTGTCGACAGAGAAACGAGTAATTACACGTTTCAGAAGTAGAGAAGAATTTATAATGCATCAAAGTTCTACTCAGCACCAAGCTAGTCAAAAAGTCCTGGGTATTGTCCACCCTACCCAAATAAACGCATTAAGATAGAAGATACGTAGATTGCTTGCAAAACATCCTACAGAACATGTCACCTCAAGAAAAGCCTCGAAGTCACTAAACTAGCATCTGATAGCACTGAGAGGAGGGACTGATAGAAAGACTGTTGCACATCAGATTCCGGGGGCTAACTATCGTTATAATTGCTATGTTGCATAAAATTATACCATTAAAGAAAGAATGTTTACATAAAAAGAGTACTATCACTTGGAAGAACAACAGTCCACAAACTAAAGAGATGATTCTGGGCAAAGAAAAAAGACTAAGACTGAGAGGCACCTCACTGTCGCGCTTACAGTCATGACAAACTTTGATGACATAGGGTGACTCCAGACCCAGTTTACAAGCTTGCATCAATGAATTGCCTCCCATTACTGCGTCCACCAAATAGACGGCGTCGTCGAATGCCAACTGTCGCGTGAAAATTTGTAGGCCTGTTAGACTACGAAAAAGCCATTTAAAAAGACTTTTCGTCCTAAGCTGGACTGTCAATGCGATGCCTTCATATAAGTCTTTGACACAAATACAACTCGACACACCCTCAAGACTAAAGATCTAAAGGAAATATGCAAATGCTGTCGGCACCCCGAATATGACAACAGCGAAGAGAGGGGATCGTTATGGGTAAGAGAAACGGACTTGCATGATACAGAGGCGGCCATAGCGAGCGAGGTCAACCCCTTCACAGTCAAAACCTATCACGAGTGGCTGATCAGGCCTGGGCTGCAGGAAGGACATCGGGAGCTGTGAGTGATGCGTGACGATGTGCACAGGTATTGGTAAAATCCAGGGTTCCGCATCACCCGATTGATTGCGGCTCCTGCACCCTGGCCACTCCAACGTTAGTTCCATGCTTCACTGTAGCAATCAACCTTTGCATACAGTAGACTTCGAGATTTACAAGGACGTACCGAGATCCAAAACAAGTGAACCAGCCGATTCCTCACATTTAAACAATCTGGAGATCGAGGGCGATTGTTGGAAATACATCCATTACTTGGAATTCATGGAACGTTTACACGATTTCCACATCTCCGTTTCTTAATTTAAACATTCTAACGTCACAATTCAACTTTAGGAACGGTGATCGAGAGAAAACAAGTCGGCGAGTATTTATTTATCGCAACGGCAATTAACATTTAGTCAGCAATTCCAGGGGCCAGGCACTATCTGTGCTCATCTCAGGGCAAAGCTGAAAATATACAAGACCTGAGGTTTGTGGAACCAACGCGTGATTGACCACGAGGCGCGAAGCAAACAGGAGATTTGTTGCAGCTTAGCAATTCTGACTCAAAATTCTGAGCTTAATCAAGTATTTCCAGCGAATTCAGCTTTTCCGATTACAGATAAAAACATCATGGACGAATTATCCAAGACTGCATGAGAAAAGTGACCAGAAGAAGGAGACGAAAACGAGCGAGAAAAAAGTCATAACAGAACAGCCACAATCTCGTCGTCTGCGGGACAGACCCGCACGCAACCAACCAACCAACACTCATCGAAATTCCGAGACACTTACACCTCATCAGAGCGGTAATGCGAGCCCCTCTAAGAACACAACAAAATCGAAGGAAATTTTCCGCAAAACCACCACAGAGCAAGAGCCGCATCACCAGACAAGACAACTGAAGAACAACGAATCCGGGATTCGTAAAACCGTACCCTCCACAGTCGGCCTGGCAAGGGGTGCGCCATGCGCGTCAAACATGGTTAAATTCATCGCATGCTCCACGGTCTGCCCCAGCGCGACGACGGGGCGAGCATTGGCGGGCCTGAAACCTACGGCTCGCTCCATTAGGAGCACAAAGAGCTGCGGGAAGCAACAAACCGAAGCTCCCTGGCCCTGCGTCCTCGGCTCCGCGATGCCAGTCGAGGATGTCTAGGGCTCGCGAGCTGCAAAGCTCGCAAAAGGATGAAAAATCTCTGCAACTCACTCTCCCTTTCCCTCGCTTCGTCCTTCTTCTCCCGCCCCCGCCTCCCACGGCACCGCACCCGGACTACGACATCGCCTCCCCTCTTCTTCGTGGATGAATAAAAATATTTGTTATTATGGATGTACGATATTCGTGACTATGCTTGGATTCGGTGATGGTTCTGCATCGGAACCTGAATCTTTCTCGATGAACGAATGAATATTTTTGGATGGTGGATGGATGATATTCGGCCGTCTAGTTTGGCGACGGTTCCACTCTGGAGCTGTCGTCAGATGTTTGTGATATTGCAATTAATGCACAATGGTAGAGTGAATCCTCAGTAAAGTCCAATAGGATGTTGTTCTTTTTCTGAAAAGAAGCTAAAAATATTTCAGTATTTTCTTCTTCTATGTTGATTATTATAATGAAATTAAATAAAATTAAATAAAATTAATACTAACTTTGCAAGTTCATTATTCCAAAAATTTGTATAAATAAGAATGTAGTATTTTATGTCAAGGCATTGTTTGGTTAAAAGGATAATTCATTTTATTAGAATGGAGCCATGGTACTCAAGTTGTATTGCCAAAATATAAAATGACCAAGAAATTGTAAGGATTAAAGATTCAAAATAAAATTTTAAATTGTGACATCAAACTTAGTCTACTATTTAAAAAATTGATCTATGGTTTATTTTATTTTTTTTAAGTTTATTAAAATCACAATTGGTACCTAATACTAGATAAATAAAATATTCTAATGATTTCTTGCACAAGAACATGTTAATAAACCTTGAATCCTTAATCTTAACTAATTATTTATATAGGATTTTGAATCATTTTTAGAACCCCAAAACCTTAATCTTGCACCTCTTCTACAAATAATTTAGAATCTCTTAACAATTGGTTGGTCTTCAATATGTTGTTCATAAAATTATTTACAAACAAAGTAAAAACATGGTCTACAACTCAATATGCAAGCTCAATGCTTGGTATAAATAATAATATTTTATAAGTTTTTTGTATGATTTCATACCAAAATCCATATTGATTTTTTTAAAGAAAAAGTTATATATATATATGCATATTTTTATATTTATTTAAAGATATTTAGACTTTAAATTTTTAAAAAAAATCAAAAAACTAAATAAGAGTATTTAAAATATGATTTATGAAAAATTAGCAATATTTCTTGATGCAATATATTTGTAGCTTACCAAGAAATGACAAATTAGTATCAAAAAGTTGATGGTCCAAATTCCACTTCTAAAATCTCTCACCTTATATGATAAATACTAACTAGCATATAATTTCTCTTGCATATCTTAGATATATACATATATACATGCAATGGAATAAATTTTCTTCCTTCTCATCTTATTCTTATTTGTTTGTTAATCAGTATTGCCATTGGTACAATTCCATCACTTGATAGTAATAAAACCTATCCACACTTATATCTAGACTTTGTAGCAATAATAATCACTAAGCAAAATCACAGGTACTAACAACTAAAGCTTAGATGATGGTATAATTGTACATTGTAGTACATACAATGCAACATTGTTATATGGTAAAAAATAAAAATAAAGATGTTATTATAGAAGAGCCTAGTAGAAAGATGTAATAAAAAGATGTAGTAGAAAAATAAGGATAAAAGATAAGAGGGTAAAAATAATTTAGTCTTAACGTTGTCTTTTGTAAAAAGGACTTCTATTTGCTTTGAAGGAGCATAAATGTATCAAATTAAAGCAATTGAAATAAGTAAGTAATTTAAGCATCTTTAAGAAAAAATTAACAATAAATTTAAGCAAAAATTATCTCAAATTACTAAAAATTGATACCCAAAGAGGACTAGCTATGAACCTAGGTCAAAATCAAAGCTTGAGGCATAAAATTGCACATCTACAGCAATTCCAGGATTCTTTTATAAATCAAAGAATGAATTTTGATTAATAAATATGAGATTTTTTTTAGATTTTAGTCTTGGAAATTGAGACCAATCTAATAATGAAATTAAGAGACTGTGACTTTGGAATATCAACATCAAGGTTGGAGAAGGATGTCGACTAATATCCAAGTAGAGTTTAGAGATTATTGTTTATTTATTATGTGCAATCTTCTTCAAATATTTTTTGCTTATTGCTAATTTTGTTTTTATTAAATTTACAATTTTGAATCAAAATCAATAGTTCAATTATTAATTATTAAATTTTTAATTTGCTATAGGATTTATTTAAGATTTAGGATTTGATTAGATTTTATTTAGGATTATTTTAGAGTTTGGTTAGGATTTAGGATTTCATTAGGGTTTGATTTAAGATTTGATTAAGATTCATTAGGATTTTAATTAGAATTTTTATTAAGATTTAATTAAGATTTAATATAAAAATTAATTAATTTTTATTAGAATTTTAATTTAGATTAAATTAAGAGTGGATTAAAATTTATTTAGGATTTATTTAGTATTTATATCTTTAATATTTTAAAAATATTTTATATTATTTATTTCAAATTTTCTATTTATAATATTTTAAAAATATTATTATTATTTCTTTGAGATTTTATTTTTATATTTTTTAAGAATTTATTTATTATTTTTAAAAAATAATAATTTATGATTTTTTTTTTATTTCTTATATAACTTCTTTTAAATTTATTTTGGATTGGTTAAAGTTTGATTACGGTTATTAAAGATTATTTAAAGTTTATTTAAGATTCTATTTGACTTTGTACGATTGTTGTCACATTTCTACTTACCTTCTACAACTAGGTGCTTGATGCATTGTCAAGCAAGAATACAAGTAATATAATAATATAATGCAAAGCAAAGCTATAAATGGTCTATTGGAACTATAATATTTTGAGAGTAATAAAATTTATATGTAATTCTTATTAAAAACATTGTGATTACAAAAATTATTTTGTCAAGAAAAAAACAACTAGAAGAGTTGTGTTTCTTTAATTGGATGCAACTATCGGCTATATTAGATGCTATAGTACAATATCGTGATTGGTTAAAATAGAATGTTGAATTTTAATATAGGCACTTAAGCAAATCATAATATTGGTAGGATCTTCTAAGTATTATAAGTGATGTTATATACTAGGCAAGTATCAAGCCTAAATGAGACTTGATAAAGATATTTGTATGCATTTTATGAATGGAGTAATATCAAAATTAGATCTTTTGTTGTAAAGCAAGTTGTTAAATAAAATGGTACTGCATTGCAATATATATTATCTATAAGCAAAATATTATAATATTGATGAGAAGAAGGGCAAATTATTTATTACAATAGAATAGAGTTGATTGATTGAAATTGTCACAAAAGTAGAGATTATGGATCAAATAGCAAAGCCATAATAATTGATAGGTGGCAATTGCAATCACCATATATTTGGCTTTGGTACTTAATAATATTGTAGATCTTTGTTGAGTAGAATTCCAACTCATAGTCTAATTGATAACAATAAAATAAAATAAAATAAAATAAAATCCAAAATAGAGTGGCGTTGCTTATTTCTTTTATTCAATCATCATCACTAAAAATATCAAAAAGATCTAAAATATAAGAATGAGACAAACATATCACTATTAATATTTTTTTGTAATTTATATCCTCTATTTACAAAGTTATATCTAAAAAGAATACATTTGTAAGATTTAGCATCAAATTTGATGTAAAGAGCCTTTAAAATTTTTTCAAAATATTTATTTTTAAAATGACAAAAATAAGTTGAATTAGATTTTTTCTTATGCTAAAGCTCAAAAGATATTTTATATCAAGGAATAGCTTTGGTTGGGCATCCATTTTAGAGATATGTTATATAAGTTATGGCTTTACTCTAATATGGCTTGTAAAGGTTAACTTCATAAAGCATTCACCTTGTGGCATTATGGAAGATATGATTTTTTTGTTCAATAATACCATTTTGATATAGTATATAGGCTATGATAATTTAACATTGAATTCCATTGTTAATCAAATATTACTCAAATTTGGAGGATGAGTACTTTCTTCCTTGATTAAAGTTGAAATAGGACAAGATCCTCTAAGGTCTAAAACCTTACAAAATTCATAAAAACAAAGATCTTGACACAACATAAAAGCAAGCATATAAAAAAAATAAATTGAAAGTAATTAAACCAAATGGAATCAAAAAGATAGGAATGAGTAGAAGAGAATAGAATCAAATAAAATCAAACAAAGCCAAATAGAACAATGTTGTATGAGGTGATTTGCAATCTAGAAATACATGAGATATCTAATTGTAGAGAATTTAGCTTTAACTTATTAGTTAAGCTCTAATAAGTGATTTATTCTACTTTCAACTTATATACAAAGTCTTGGGTCTCAAAACCTCTTCACTTTACATTAAATGCCCAAATTGTAGCAAAATCTGTCAAAACATATTTTTTCTATAAAAGATTTCTTCTTCCTAAACTTAAGAAATTCATATCTTTTATCTCAACCATTCAATTTCTCTTAAATTTTTATATAATGTAGCTATTATTTTTAAGCTTTATTACAAAAAAAATGAACCATGAAATCACTATCAATCTTTTGGACACTTAGAAATCCTAATAAGTGCTCTAAGTCCTAATTTACAAGCACCTAAGAACTATTTTCTTCATATCTCAAAAATCCAAATTCAAATGCTACAAAATTTATAAATACAGTTTACTAACATGAATATATACATTCTTGGAAATTTTGAGCCAAAATCTCTTCAAATTGCTCAAGATATAGCTCAAAATACAACCACTATTGAATCAAGTCACTTACTACCCTTAGATTTGCAAGTGCTGACTTCAACCTCCAATATCTCCTTTATTCCAACTTAGAATCCATCAAATAATATACTAAAAGTATAGTAAAAAAAGTTTTCTTTCTAATTCCGGTTTTTGATTCTTTATTGCTTTTTGTACGCGTGTATTATGTCCAAAAGAGTGACAATAGGTACAAAAACAACACTTTAATTTTGAGCAACAATATCTCTTTTATATAAACTCTAAAT